GCTGCATGTCTCACAAACAAAGCCTCGCAGGGCTTAGTTTCTATGTGTAAACATGGCGTCTTTCGTTTCAACTGACTCTCTACAAAGTATTTCTGAGTCGATTAGTGTAGCCTTTCTGCCGGATTTTCAAAAAATATCAGCCACGACAATGAACAGGGGAACCAACAAGTTCATGTAATCTTTTTTGGACGACATAAAGATGTTTGAGCCACACGATGTCTCCAACATTGTCCGCGTCACAGCGAAATGCTACTGGTCGATGAGGAAAACAGCAGATCCTCACACCCTCAGCATAAATATAGCTGTGGACAAGATCAGTGATGCCTGTTGTTCTTGCAAGGCTGGGTAAGTCGGGCATTCATGGTTTTGAGGGTTACTTTTGAAATCAGTGATTACAGTTTAGTAAAAAGCCTTTTCAGGTAAAATAAAGTCTTTAATGTATGTCTGATACGGTACACATTGCATATTGATCTGTTCAGCTAACGTAAGACCATATAACAGACAGGATTCAAGGTGTAGAAGTTGTATCGGTACTGCCATTATGCTGTACTTGGCTAAAAGGTTTTCATAATGAATGTGTTTATTATTGACTTTTTTCAGACTTTGGGGTCATTGTTCACACATTATAGGCCTCCTTAAGACCTTACAATATTTCAAGCTTCGAAATTCAAAAGGGATCGGGAGGTGCTGGTGCCTATCTCTAGCTAACGTTCCGGGCGAGAGGCGGGTCACCCTGGACAGGTCGCCAGTCTGTCGCAGGGCCACTCAAAATATCCCCATTCACTAAACACAAAGAAAGCAAAGTAACCCAGGTTGAAATAGCCTCTTCATAAAAATAATAGTAAATTAGATAAATAGGACATAAATAAATAGGAAAATAAATAGGGAATTAATCGATCTTAAAATTGTTAAAAATATATATAAAAAGAGCAACAATTAGAGACATTAAAATTGCTGTATTTTGATTTTTTTGTGGATATTTTAATTGATTACAGAAACTGTATAAACCAGTTTTGCTTTGTCAGCGAACTCTCTTATGTATGTATAATCCATGTGACTAGTTTCAGCCAATCGGGTTGCTGCGTTCTCTGACGTGAGAGAGAGAAGAAGCAGAGAGCATAAAGCAAGCAGAGAGCGGAGAAGCAAACGGGATTGTGCTGGAAAAAAAGAGAGACAGATAAGAGAAATTGACCACTCGTAGCTGACTTGCTGTCTAAGACGAGTTTTTGTTTTGTTTTGTCTTATTTCTTGAGAAGGAGCTTTTCGCATTATTTTTTTTCCCTCACCTTGACTGCGTTCGGGATCATCTTTTGTGTGTTGTGGAACTGGACTTGGTGAGTTGAAAGTGTATTTTGTTTCTTTTGTTTGTTTGTTTTTTTAAGATAATGTATTTGTTAAACATTTATTTAATTTAAATGGAAAGCTAAAGCGGAGGCTGATCAGCGGAGGCGTTGGCTGTTGCTCTTGGTGCTAACAGCAAGCCAACTGAAAGTCAACAGGAGTAACAGCTGAAGCTAACAGCCGCTCTTGTCAACAGCTCTTGTTAGCAGAGAAGCTAACTGTTGCTAACTGTCGCTCTTTGTTGGCAACAGGCTTTTTTAATTTAATTTTTATTTTTTTTATTTTCTTACGTTCGGCTGGGATTTGGACTAAGGAGTCTAGTATGGAGTTAGTTTTGTTTCACAATTATTCAATCAAAAAAAAAATATGTCAAACAAAAAAAGTAGTATTCAATAAAAAAAAAATGTCAAAGCAAAAATCACTAAGTTTTTTTTTTAACTTTTTTTTTTGTTTTTGGTTGAGTCTCTTTTTTTTGGTTGAAACTTTTTCTGAGTTTTTGGTTGAATTTGTTTTCTTGCTTATACAACTTTATTTGCTTTGGGGAAGCTTACATGAACATTCTGGGCGGGGCTTAAGGACGACCGAGGTAAGGCGGGTTCCGATTGGATAGCGCTGACTAAAGCGGATGACTCCCTGAGATCTCAGAACTCTGTCCCGAACTGCAGGGCTTCGGTGACGGGACACAGAATGTGAATGGTAAGTAATCTTCACAAAATTACACCGTTTAGCAGCTTCTAAGGTTGCCACCCTGTTTCAAAGAAGAAATCTTACTCAACTTATGACGACAGTCATATATTTTGTCTGCCGTGATCTCCGGTAGCATATTGTGCTAGCTAATGTTAGCACTAGGTAAAGTTCATAAACTAGGCTTGTGTAATATTCGTTAACCAGCGCACCTCTGTCGAGTGGCAGTAAGCGTGGAAAATACCAAATATATCTGGAGGAAATATGTGTTAAAAACTGTTGCGCAATTCTCAGTGTGTGTGTGTGTGTATTAACTAGCATTGAAGCTAAAATGGGAAAACAGCAGATTGTTGCACCAATGTTATCAGGTCCACGTTAATCTGCACCACACGTCAAGTGACTGTGCAGATGATTTATTTACCAAGCACATAATCAGTGCTGTCGATGAGGGGAGGCAACGTAACTCTTAAATATATACATTTTCTTCCAGATGTAAAATGTAAAACTAAGCTGGTAGGTCACAGGCCGAAAGAGGATATGCACATAATTTCTGTTTTTTATTATTTGGTGGGTGGGTGTCTTGTACTTAGTTTTATTCTGAATTAGATGCAATATGCCTTTTGCTGTGTTATATTAAATTGGTGTTCTCCTAATTCCCCATTCTAGTATGACCAGCAGAGTGCAGCTGAAGGAGGACAGGCTTGTAGGTCTTACTGGTTCCTCCAGCTGCTAGAGATGAATCAGAGCATGAGGATGGAGAGACCAGCAAGTGTTGAGTCAGAGAAGGTCAGGTAGGGAAGGAAGTGTTGCTTTTAGGGTCCGGGTCTGTTTGGCTAAATATATTTCTCCAAGTCAGTTTATTTATTGGTTTTAAAAATAATGCATCCTTATGTGTTGATGATACATTGTAATAAAAATACAAAAATTACCACCAACATCCTGGCAGAAGTAAATAAGTTTATATCAGAGCTTTTTCTTTTTGGATCTGGAACACATTAAAAGCAAATTACCAAATTTGCTTTATTCCCTGTCATGTTAACGTTCGGTTATTTCTCCCTTTTTCAAGAGGGCCAACATCCACAAAATCCGGTTATGACGGCGAATCCTACACTCCGTCCAGCCTGTAGTCGCGGCCCCAGCGCCACCGCCTCCTGTGGTCGTTCCAGCCACTCTAGTTGCTCCGCGTAAAGCGCCACCCGCTGGCGTCCTGTTAGGACAAAAACACCTGGCCAGGAGAGCGATCGCTGAGCAGCGGATGTTTTATCTGTCCCAGCAAGGGTCCCTGCAGACAATCAGTGGAAACGTTACTTACTGACCAGGGCAGAGTTCCCCTTCTGCCCGCTGACGGTCCGACACGTCGTTCCCACTGATTGTATCCTCTGCTGCCAACCACTGGCTCGTTCGGGGTCGCAGTCCTCCGTCACGAACCATCCTGGATTCCCCTTTCTTTTCTCCTTCCCCAACGCGAAGTCCTCTGCCTTTTAAAATCCACTACTGCCAGTGTCTTGCAGGTTCCAGGTACGCTGCCTACGGGCACGCCCACCCCGCACAGGTGACTGGCATCAGCTGTTAGTTCTTGGAGTCCACAGTGAATTAAAAAAAAAAAAACATGCAGCGAAAACACTCAACAATAAAAACCACACTTAAAAAGTAAAAACAAATTTCCACTGTGTGACAGATACGTCATTGTGCCTGCTAAACACATAACGCTGAGTGGAGTGGTGTACCGCTCCAAGATGCAGTGGCGGAGCCAGATTTTTAAAGTTGGGGGGGCAAAGTGGGGGCCAGGACTACCTCTGGGGGGGCAAAAGGCAAAATTTACGTGCGCACATCTGGTTCACATGGAGACATGACAGACTTTACGCAAAGATTTCACTGCAGAGGCAACTAAAATCATTCAATAAAAATATCCTTTCTGAATATCATCTCATGGACACTGAACTAAATGCGTCTTTCTGACCGGGAGCTGACAGCGTGTTGAAGAGTGATGGACAGGACACCTTGGTTAGGAATCTCATTGCAAATCTTTAGTTGAAATGGCGCCTTTAACTCCAGTCTCCAGTACAGAACAGAGAAAACTAAAGACAATGCAACGTTGTTTTAATCCATTTATAGTCTAAACAGAGGAGCCATCAGTTTATTTTGAGGAAATAAATAAAGGTGCAGAAGTTAATTAGATCCATGCGCAGTCCGCTGCACAACCAATGCGGCGCCGCTGCGAAGAATTAAACTTAACTCGCCCTGCAGTTTTAACAAATGGAGTTGAAGATGTTACCCTCCCGCACCCAGAAGGAGAGCGATGCACAGAAGGAGCGCGGCAGACGTAACATCTGTCCGTTTTGGAGAAGCGAAACCATGCAAAAAATAAAAATGTAAAATCCTGGCAAAAACGCACGCCGCACCATACACAGGGTAAAAAAAAAAAAAAAAAAAAAACGAAAAAAAATCTCACAGAGATCCAACTGTTGATGAACCAGCGTAGATTTCTCTGCAGATGCGACCAGGAAGAATTTGTGAAGCTGTGCGTTCAAACCGCAGCGGGTGAATTAATGGTAATTTAAGTGGAGTCGCTTAATTTCATTTGTTATAAGTTATTGGAGCCTCAGTCAGTGGTTTGTGTCTCTCCGGAGAAAAAGTTAGATCCATTTATCTGCTTTATGTGTGATGGGAAATATACAATATATAGTTACACTGGTGTTTTAAAAACAAAACCAGTAAAAACTTAACTGAGTTAATGTCAGATTCCCTCCTCACCCTCGTCTTGATAAGACCAGAGAGCAGTCCGCTGGTTTCGTGTCCAGACTGTAATAAAGCGCAGCTGACACTTGGTGCGCAGACAGTTTCAACTTTACGCACAGAGAACATCACGGAGCTCATTATTAATCATACTAAGAATAATATCTGTCAGAGAATCATCTCTGATCTGGACGCTTTAACGGACCAGAGGCTTTGGAGCGTCTAGCGCAGCTGATCCGCTTCTGCAAGGTTTTTCTCCCGCAGGTCGAGAGAAGTGAGTGCGGGATCAGGAAACAATCAGAGTTCTGCCTTCTTCTAATCACGTCATTTGGTGAAATGTTACCTGATTTCAAAAACGTTCTCGCAGAGAAATGCAAAATGTTTCGTTTGATGACTACAAATTGGAAATAAAATTATTTTTTTCTTTGACAACGAAA